CGGTAAGTGCTAACTTCCGCAACACGCACGCGCATACCAGTTGGCTCGACACAGGCATGGGCCTAGCCCTTGGTCTTGGCTAGACATGTCAATAAAACCCGTAGGGTTCACGGTTTATCCGCACTTTCATGTCAGGTTCTGGTAGAATTATAGTACCCTGAATCCCCAGTCGGGTCAGATTCGGTATAGTTGGAACACCAACTACCCAACTTATTTACCCACAAACATATATAATTAATTGAAGCTTTCATGTATACATATGATTTAGCACCAAAAATGGCTCGGTGGTTCGTCTTGAGCGGTTAGCTCAGCTAATACTGGTCCACGAGGCCATGGTGGTCGTGGCAGCCAGGAAGCTATGGTAGTCGTGCGATGGTGATCGTGATGGTCGCGAGTTTGGCTCGAGAAGACGCATGTCGGATGTCTGTCGGGGATGAAGCCAAAGTCGATCGACAAGGCGAAGAGCTTCCCCACAACATGTGACCGAGCTTGTCCCCGCTAATTATAAAATAAAAGATTGATATCAACCATGGTCGTCCGCATTCTCTCGTGCAACCATGGGTATCCAACCGGCGAGCAGAACAAACGGCGCCCACTATGGGGCGCCACCAGTTCGCTCGTTCTGACCAATCTACATTTTCGATCAGACAAAAAACTAGCAACACAGGTCTAACCGCAGCCACTCACGTGAAAGATTGGTTCAGAAGCTGGCGAATTCCCCAAGAACACTAGAAACACACAATGCATAGGGGAAACAACTAATAACTACGCTAAAGTCCTCTTCACTAGCCAGAAAGAACCTCGGCTACCACTCGAGCCAGTACCCAAGGCGATCAACTAAGGAGGAGCAAACCTAACCACGATCCAAGATACATGATCTAGAACTTCTCCTACGGCTAACCATATCCGAACCAACGTACACGAAGCCCTCCCAACAGTTCACCACTAGGTCAACTACTGGAGACCCGCACCACAACCCACCCACGCATAAATCGGAAGTCGAAACAATGTTGCTCGTTGCACAGGCACTGCCGGAGGGACTTGCCATCCCAACACCAGGGATGAGACGAAACAAAGGAAGACCGTGACGCCGACCTCAACAAGGCAGCGATCAGCGTCTGCCGCCTCAAAATCCCCGTTCAATCGTCGACCCTAACTCCGCCGTAGCAACCGGAAAGGCGACATACACGCAGGAGAATAATCGATGCCCTCCAAGAAAATTGAAGCATCCTAGGTGCTGACCTGGGTGTCGGTCTGACGCCATTGGGTTGCGGAGGCATTGGGTTGCAGAGGCACAGAGAATTGACGGAGTGGAAAGATGAGAGTAGGAAATAGGAATTATGCCGTTGAAAATTGAACTTTTGCAGTTGTGCATTTTACCCCTTTTTAACGGGGGCAAAAATGTAAATTGACTAAAAGTTTACGAGCTCGTGAACTCGCTCTGCCGCCAGGTTTATCCCAGTTTTGCACTCTCTCACGACTCACAAGCACCGGACATTTCTATGGCGACCCTGCTCACCGCCGGCGCCGGCACGTCCGCCGCCGAATCGCCGCCGTCCACCCCTCAGCTCATCCCCAACCTTCCCCAAGACATCTCTCTCCAGATCCTGGCTCGAGTGCCCCGCTTCCACTACCCTCTCCTCTCTCTAGTTTCGAAATCGTGGCTGTCCGCCGTCAGATCCGCCGAGCTCTTCCTCAACCGATCCATCCTCCGCACGACCCAATTCTCTCTCTACCTCACTCTCCGCGTCGACTCCTCCTACAGATGGTACGCCGAGCAGAGAAATCCCCAAAATTCCAGGCGCTCCTCCCTAATCCCCATCCCGTCAATCCCGCAGCACCTCGTCGGCTCCTCAATTCTCGCCCTAGGGCCCAAGATATATGTAATCGGCGGGTCGGTCAACGACGTCCCTTCCAACAGTATCTGGATCTTCGACTGCAGCCTCAGCAAGTGGGCCCCGGGCCCCAAGATGCGGGCCGCCCGGGAATTTTCCGCCGCCGGCTCGTGGGGCGGTAGGATCCTCGTGGTGGGCGGGTGCAACGTGGACAGCTGGACCCGCTCCGCCAACTGGGCCGAGTCCTACGACCCGAGCACGCGGCTGTGGTCCCCGGTGCCGAGCGCGGTCGAGGTCAGGGACAGGTGGATGCACGCGAGCGCCGTGATTGGGGGCAAGTTCTACGCCATGGCCGACAGGGGTGGGGTAGCGTATGACTTGGGGTCCGGTGAGTGGGGGGCCGTGCCCAAGAGGCTGGATCTGGGGTGGCGGGGCCGGGCGGCTGTTGTTGGTGGCGTGCTGTACTGTTACGACTACTTGGGGAAGATCAGAGGGTATGATGTGGAGCGTGACGTGTGGAAAGAGTTGAAGGGTGTGGATGAAAGCCTGCCGGAGTTTCTGTGCAGCTCGACCATGGTGAATTTGGATGGGCGGCTCTGCGTGGTGTGGGAAGGGAGAGGGAGAGGGAAGGAAGTGGACGTGATGTGTGCGGAGATCGAGGTAGGGAAGGATCCGGATGGGGGCTTGCGGGGGAGGGTTTTGGG